CACATAGCGCGCGACTGCAGAGACGCTGCCCACTGCGTGCTATGTGCATCCCGGGGCCTCCGGTCTGGTCATAGGGCAGGAGGTGAGTCCTGTGCGTCGAAGGGGCGCGGTAGAAACGGCCCCGTAGTCGGGAGCCGGACTGGCCCGAGAGTAAATGCTGTGCGGAGGGCAGCAGGCGACACCCAGACGGGTGGTCGCATGGAGGTTGATGGAGATCATGGCCCTAGTTCTCCAGATCAACCTCAATAGGAGCTGGGCGGCGCAGAACCTGGCTGTCCAGGTGATGCGTGAAAGGGAGGTGTCGGTAATGGCGGTGTCGGAGCCCTCGTATGTCCCTGACTCACCTTGTTGGGCTGGGGACTTGGACGGTTCGGCTGCCATTGCCTGGCACTTGCACGCGGGGCGGTGGTCTGTCCGCCAGGTGGTGGACAGGGGCCACGGGTTCGTGGCGGTGAGGTGGGGGGAGGTAGCAGTGTACAGCTGCTACTTCTCCCCCAACGCCCCGGTGAANGAGTACGAGGCGTCCCTCGAGGCCCTCGGGGATAGTGTCCGTCGTGAGGGGGGTCGCTCCGTGTTGGTCCTTGGCGACTTTAACGCCAAATCGGCCACATGGGGCTTCTCCCGCACTGACCGAAGGGGCCGGATGCTGGACAGGTGGGCGGTACAGCATGGGCTGGTAACCCTGAACAGGGGCCGGGACGCGACCTGCGTTCGTACTCGGGGCAGTTCCGTGGTCGACGTGTCTTGGGCGTCCGTGGCGGTGGCCCGACAGGTGTCGGAGTGGATGGTTCTCGGCGAGGAGTCCCTGTCGGACCATCGCTAGATCACATTCCGAGTGGAGGATGGAAGGGGTGCGGCGCCGAGGGTGCGCAAAGTCCACTTTCCCCGGTGGAACCACAAGGAATGGGACGAGGATGCGTTCGGGGCGGCTGTTCTGGGGGCGACGTGGCGTGGTTCCGTCCCCTCGGGGGCCTCGACGGACGAGGGGGTGCGCTGGCTTACCCAAATGGTGTCCGATGCGTGTGACGCATCGATGCCGCGGGTTCGGCGCGTGGCAGCACGCAAAGCGACGTATTGGTGGTCAGCGCACCTCGCAGAGTTGCGGGCTGTGTGCCTCATGCGGAGACGGCGGTACGACCGGGCTAGGCGCCGGGGGCGCGGGGGACCCGAGGCCTTGGAGGCGCTGCGAGTCTCCCTTCGGGAGGCGCAGCGGGAACTCCGGGTGGCCGTGGTGTCCGCGAAGAGGGCGGCGTGGACGGAGCTGGTGTCCACGTTGGACGGGGACCCTTGGGGAACCCCCTACAGGGTGGTCCTGTCCCGGCTTTGTCCGAAGGCTCCACTCTCTGTTACAGAGAGCCTGGGGGTGTCGGAGGCTCTTGGCACGGTCCGGACTCTGTTCCCGTGGCGCGGGGCTGAGCGGCGACGGAGGTGGGAGCGTATCCCCTGGAGGCCCGACTACGGGGTCACCGCCGACGAGCTCCGTGCGGCGGTGAAAAGAATGATGAGGCGACGCACGGCGCCGGGTGTCGACGGCCTGGTGTGCGCGGTATGGGCCCGGGTAGCCGCGATCGTACCGGAAGCAGTGGTTGGCTGCTTCAACGGCTGCCTGAGGCGGGGGGTGTTTCCCACCGCGTGGAAGCGGGCGCGCCTTGTGCTCGTCCCGAAGCCCGGGCGAGAGGGTGCCCAGCCGTCATACAGGCCGTTGTGCCTGCTGAACGAGCTGGGCAAACTCTTCGAAAGGGTGCTGGTGGGGCGCATCGAGGAGTGCGTCTCGCGTGGTGGGGGTTTGTCGCCGTGTCAGTTCGGGTTCCGCGCCGGGCTGTCCACGTGCGACGCTGTGGCGCGTGTGCGCGCGACGGTCGAGGGCTGTACCGGGGGCGGCGGCGTGTGTGTTGCCGCCAGCCTAGATGTCCGGAACGCGTTCAACATCCTCGCGTGGGGGAGTGTCCGGATCGCGGCGCGCGAGTGGGGCCTCCCTATCTATCTGCGTGCGGTGTTGGACGCGTACCTCAGCGACAGAAGTGTCGTCTTCCCGTGTGTAGACGGGAGATTGCGCACCCGCAAGGTGACGTGCGGGGTCCCCCAGGGTTCCGTTTTAGGCCTGCTATTATGGACCCTGGGGTACGACTCGGTGCTGCGAGGGGGCCTTCCGGAAGGATGCTTCCTCGTGTGCTATGCGGACGACACTCTTGTCCTGGCTGAGGGCGGGACGGACGACGAGGCGGCGCACAGGGCTTCTCTGGCCGTGGCGTCGGTCGAGCTCCGGATGCGGAAGCTCGGGTTGGAGCTGGCCCCGTCCAAGACGGAGGTC